AAAAAACCAAGAAGAGCTGAAAAAAGATAAAGTCAGTGAGGAAGATTGTATTCTGTAGTCATTTTGCTGTGTTCCAGCAAAAATTAAATGATTAAATAATCATGTTTTATTTGTGGAAAAAGCAAAGAGGGCTCAAGTTTTTGCAAACGATACAAAGGTTGGTTAAAAAGATGATCAAGGTGGTTTCTACAACAGGAAACATCTGTATTTGCCTTCCTAGAAAGGGGTACAAAATGAAGGTTTTCTCATGACTGTAAACTGTCCGTCTACCCACAACTGATTAAAAACAGACCCCAAAAGAGCAGAGCACACAAAATGGCGAGAGTTTCTCAGAGAACAAGGAGCCGTTTGCAAGAAAAATATCTGAAATGACTCCAAAGAGGAACTGAAAGGGCTTCAACTGTTAGACAAAGAGAGGAGGATTAAACGCTGACATGTAATGTCTGACACATTTGCTTAGGAACGTCTTTCCTTCTTCTCATTTTCAAAGGGCAAAAGACGAAAATAAAAATCTAATCTTACGCAAAGATCATCAAGTAATATATTGTTAGCTGTATAGCTTGTGGGAATGACCATCAAAGAGCTGCAACTGCTGAGTGGTTTTCTTTATTTTCTTGCTTTTTGTTGAGTGAGCTGCAGATTTACCCCTGAGGCCCAAACGACGAGACTGCTGCAGCAATTTTAATTCACAGCAAAGGGCAAAAGATTCAGTAATCATCGACCCTCAGTGATTATCCCTGGTTTCTTAGTTACTATTTATTTGTAAAACTGTTTTATCTTTGGTCATTTTGATAGACTGCTGGTAGAAAAGTGAAATTTTACACCCAAAACTAGATAAATTCACAAAGTCAGGAACGTTTTCAAGGTGGAAGATTCATAGAGTTGGGCGACTGAACAAATAAGAATCTTCTGTCTTTTTTAAAATATTTGCATTGAATTTACACAAAAAATTACACTAAAGGTTCTAGTAATATTTTTAGATCTTCTTTCCTTGTCATTAATGTTTATTCAACACTTTTTTGTACTTTCAATATGCAGTAAGAACAAAATAATAAATGGCACCTCTTCAAGTATTTGACTTAAGAATAGTTTTCCAACCAAATAAAATAAATAGTTGTACATTTTTCAAAATGTTGTCACAATTCAGAAATAAATTGTATTTAAGAATAAATATATACAGCAATTTTAACAATTATTTCCAGCCGAAGTGGATTGCAATAAATTTCCTGAAGGAGATAATTATTTTTCAAAACATTATGTGAAATTTGCAGCTCTAATGAGTTTTATTTATCTTTCCTGACAACAAAATGTCTCTTTAAGTTGTAAAAGTTGCAGACCCCCAGCCTGGACACTGTGACCCAGAATCCAACAGAGAAGCTGTTATAGCTTCTCAGTTTTGGGAAGCAATTTTCCAACCAGACTATTTTTTTTATTTATTTGAGAGCTTTATTCTTTCATTTGAAATGTTTTTTATATTATCATTTACTCAGTTCATCTTTGTCCAATATTACAACTTGTTAATCTAAAACAAAAACATAGGGAATTTGTAAATAAATCCCCACTGCATTGTAAGCTCTGAGGGAACCAAGTGGCTCAGGTCTCTGTGATAAAGATGAGTTCATGGCAGAGCAGCATGACGGCTGAGCGGAGTGTGTGTGGGTGGCAGCGTGGAGTGTGTGTGGGCCACAGAGTGGGACAGACCTGCATGAAGTGCACTTTGGCTTGTTGTTGTTGGTGCAGTGAAGAACGTAAAGCGCAGTTCCAGGCATCTGATGACCTCTCCGGTTTACATATGGATGGAGACGCTCTTATCTGACAATACACAGGCTTATTGGGCTTTTGAAGTCAGCACAACAGAACAAGGAGATTCAGTTGTAAAAAGTAATGTATATTCCTCTCTATGTTTGAATATTTGCTTTTAAACCAACATGGGTGTCAAACTGATCCAGGTTTAATCAATTGATCCTCCATTATATTGACAAAAATGATAAATTATGAGCAACCAGCACATTTAATGCATTTTTTAAAAAATAATTATTTTGTTTTTTCACAACTTGCTTTAACACAGCTAAACATACATGAACAAAGAAAATATAATACCATTAAAAAATGACTAAAATTGCAAAACAGTTAGGACAGAGTCACACAAATCCTAGGTGATTTATCACAATATATTTTTTTTCATTTAACCCAGATCTTTCAAATTTGCTACCTGAAAAAAAAAAAATTATTTCCATTACATATAAATCCTGTAGGATCTGGTTCCAGTCATCCAGGATAACAACAGCCATCACTATCTTCAGTAACTCTTTGAAGAATCTAAGTTAATGTGTTAGTTAATTAACTCATTATTAATTCCCTTTGGGATTAATAAAGTATTTTTGTACGTGAATTTAACTTTTATGCTTCATCATGTCAACTTTTCTGGGCACAAAGTTTAAAATACCAAGGAGACTGTGACTCCTCGTCCACTGAATACAAAAATTCAAATAAAAACTCATCACACTTCATGCAGTTTTTAGTATGAAAATAGTCCTCACCAGTTTTTATTAATCAAGCATCTAATTTTTTATGTATGTCTGCAATGTTTCAACATTTGCAGGATTTCGATTTTCATTCCCTGCTGCAGCTTCTTTCCTCTTTGTGTGCTTCCTATTATCCCTCTGTGTCGCACTATCTGTACTGATGTCTCCTCCTGGAGCAATTCCTACAAAATCTCACTCTGACTCATCTATATTCTTTTTTTGGGGTTGTGATTTATGCGTTTTAATCCGAACAAATCGAGCCGAGCTTCAGCACTGTTTATCTAATCCAAGAGGCCTTTTATTCTCCAAGATGTCATGTGCTTTATGCCTGTGAGCTTTTCTATTCCCTGCTGATTCAGTGCATGTTCTTTAACTAGGACGAGTTTGGAGGGAAAGATGAAAACTGTTGGCTCTAATTTGTAAGAGGTGAAACATCTCTATGTTGAGTATAATAAGGACACAAACAAGTTCATCACTTTCATCTCAATGTCATTTAACATCTTGACATGTTGGAAACTTTTTTGTATTTTATTCTGATTCTATGATTCTTTGAGATAGAACAACAAATTAGAAAACTGTGAAGAGAAAAAAACTAATTTTTTAAAAAATCAACCTGTCTGAAAAGTGTGGTGTGCATTTATATTTAGCCTCCCTGACTCCTTGACGCTTTTTAAAACAAATTTTTCTACTATTTCAGCTGTTATAAAAGAGTATCTCCACAGCATATTGCTACCATTAATGTGAGCTTTGCCGTCAGTGGAAGCCTTATCATTGCTGGCCAACAGATTTTCCCTCTGCTAAACAGAAGATACAATATAGTAACATGTAATTATGTGATATTCTTTGTGGGATTTGTATATCTTACCAAGATAAAACATATTTTAGACTGTCAGATTAAAACAATCCATGATAATTAGGTTCCCAATAAGATAGAATATCAAAATCCATTTTTTGGTATTTCAGTTTCAAAAGTTTCCTCTCCTCTGTTTTCATGTCCAAATAATTAAAGTTTCAGGCATTATTTGAGAAGTCCTGGTTTTTATATATGTTCTCGTTTGCTCATTTCTGTCTGGCCTTTGTGTTTTCTTAGTGAAGTTTTGCTGTTTGGGCTGTTTCCATGGAAGTTGTAAATTCATACTGTCTCTTTCTGATTATACAAATAAGAACTTTAATATCAACTGAAGCAAAACTGATTTAGGTTCTGTGGTGACATTTTTAGTATTTTTGTTCTTTTAGCATCTTGCAGGCTGCCATCTGCGTGAATTTGGTTGGGTGGCCAAAGGTTGGGGTGTCTGCAGTTAGTTTGAATGTTCTTCACTTCTAGGCTATTTCAGTACAGTGAAATGTCTGAATTCAGATTAATGTGGAGACCTTTTCAAATGTTTTGCTTGACTCATTAGCTGCTACAGTCTGTTTTTTTAAGGCAGACAGCTCTTTTCTTACCGTGGTGTTAATCACTTCTGTCAAGAAGAAAGAAAAAAGATGACCTTTTTCTGGGAGATATTAATTTCTGATCTCATATCGTCATGTTTTCTTGCAGTACATTATGACTACATGACAGAAAATGTTCTAATTTTCTATCATCTGTCCCGTTTTATTTCAATAATTGACATTTAAAGTTCAAAGGTGTACAAAGTCTGATGCGAACATTGTTATAATGGAAAACAGTATTTTGTTATCAATATTTCCATTGCAACATTCAACAATATTTACAATTTACTTTAAAAAAAAATACAATATAGCCCTAACTGGGTTTAAATGTTCAACTGAAGCTTATTGTATAATGTATTTAAAGTATAATGACTGCTTTGGGATGAATAACTCTCTGTATAACTGGATGTGGTTGTTCTGATTTGAAAACAAACTGCAAATCACTATGGTAGATCTTTTTGTAGCTGATATTGACTCAAGTGAGCTAAACAATCAACGTTTTAGTTGCACAACCTGCTTTTCTATAAAATACCTTAATAATTATTTGGATTATTGATCTATTTCTGTATATAAATGTGCACAGTGACAGGGTGTAATTAAGTGAGATTAAAAAAGACGTGAATATTAAATTGCTTGACATAGCGGTCTAAATTGAACACAAGACTTAAAACACTTTTGAATATTCAACATTTCCCTGTTCTAAAAACATAGAAACGCTATTCTATTTGTTTATATTGTGTTAACAGTGGTGTGGTCGTAACCGAGGTGAAAAACAAATGTCCTAGCGGGTTGTCTTATGAAAAACAGGCAGCGAACAGCAGGGCTACAGTGACATTTTCCCCACATGCAAAATCATGCAAAAGGTAAATACTCCGGCGGAGGGATACAAACACCATACCAGAACATGGCCGCCTCCGTCATGTCCTCTCTTACAGTCCCGCCCCTCACAGGCGTTCCCGACATCTGATTGGTCGTGAGTTTTGCAGTGAAGCCTCTCATTGGATTGTTCACAGGTCAATCGGGTGCTATCGTCAATGACGCCGATCGTACACTGGGTACGCTTGTGTAGCCTGGGTGGACAGTGTGGTTACATCAATATAAAGTAGAATAAAATGCCGCGGATGTGTGTAAATAGAGACGCCTCTTCATCGCGACTGTATACTGCCTCTTAGTTAAGACGGGTCAACTCCGAGGAAGGTGGCACCAGGGCTAATTTCGGGGTTTATCAGCAATATTTCAGGGTAAGTGGAGTGATACATTTCCTTCCTGCGTCTTTTTTTTCTTTCACGGTTGAAAACTCGTTTTATTATTCATTTACAGCAAAACGACAATCCTGCTCCTCTTCATTAGCTACTCGTAGACAAGCAGTTAATATTATAACGGGAAGCATTCATGATTTCCTCTAAAGTAGTGCGTAGTCCGGTTCGTCTTGCCGAGTTACACGGAGGGAGTGAGGAAGGTAATGGCTGTCGGGTCGGAGTCGTAACTAGAAAAATTGTGAAATGGCCTGGGTACAGTAACGTCGGTTTGTCCTTTTACTCTGTCAGGCAAGCGCCAGGACAAGGGGCTCAGTGGAGGATATTTAATTCGGCTAAAATCGGGACACAATCTGACAGCAAGCTGAGCTCCCAGCGTGTCAGATTAAATCTTGAAGGGTTTACCTGTCTTCCGTCAGTTGGCCTGTTCATTCTCCAGACTCCATCTGTCATCGCCTTCATCACACTTTGTTGTCCTCGCAGAAAAACTATTAGCCTCATGTGGCCCCCCACATATCGGATTCCTACCGCAAATGAAAAAGATATTGCATTTTTTTCCCCTCTCAGCCTTGTAACCAAAGCTCATTACTGTAAAGGCCCTGAGGAAGAATACTAATATCCTCCTTCCTAGTTCTGCTTCTAGAGGATTTAAATTAGTGTTAAAGTAGGTTAGTTTTCATGCAGAAAAATCATGCAGGATTTCATGCAGAAAAATCATGCAGGGTTTCATGCAGTAGGGGTCAAGCTGGGTTGCTGATATTTGCATGGCCTTAGTTTACAGTAGGGCTAACTGTACCTGAATCAAACAGCAACTGGGCCACTCATTATGCAGACGGCAGTATGATGAATCCAGAAACTCCATATATTTTGTTCTTATTAACGATATGAAAATGTAAAAAATGCAACATTTTTCTGGTGATTATTGTGTGCAAATTCATCATGGCTGTGCACATTACCAGGGTTTTCATGAAAATCTGTTCATAGTTTGAAAAATTATTGTAGTTACGTCACTAAGAATGGAGACTGCAGCATGTATGTAATTAAATGTTAGTATTATTTGACAGCAAAATTAGCAGATTTTTATGATCAAACACTACTGATAAATTGTAGTCTGAAAGCCAACTTTCAGATTACTGTAAACACTTTACGAAATGTTTGTTGATGTTCATAAAAAAGGATAAGTACCCTTAAGGTTGTTATTGTGAAGATTTGCAGGAACTCTTGTCTCTGTTTATGTTTTCTCTGTTTGTTTTTTTTCTATGCATTTGAGAGAAATGAACCATTTTCTTGTTCTATCATCCACTAACATAGATCCCATTTGTAGAAACTGGAGTATGGTCAAAATAACACAAAGACTGTTTTCAGACCTCAAACCAGTTCATTTTCACTTTTAAAAGACACAATATTTTGATTTTAACTCATAAAAAGTTCAGAAATATATCCCAATCCCTAATGACTACATGAATGGTCGTTCAAGATACCAACAAGCTAAATCAACAAACCAAACCATTCTGCAAAGGTACTGAGTTTCTGTTCAGACCTGGTATTAGTGCCATATCTTCATTTGATTCAATTTTATTGAGTTATTTACCAACTCTTTATACTCTCACCCTTGTATGATGACAGCAAACATAAAGAGGAAATAGAGAACAAATAATGTGGGACTTTACAAAGGTCAGCATCAATGCGCATAGATTTAAACCCATAAAACAACACCGCAGTAAAGCATTTGTTGACTCGCTTGCCCAACTTTATTCGTTTACTAATATGCACTGCTTAAATGTGTCAGAACATTCCAGAGATTTTGTGCTTTGCATGAATAATTTATAGTGCGGTGACCGCAGCAGTTCAATCAGCTCCAAAAACAACAGTTAAAAAAAAAAATTCACCCTTTCAATGTCCTGATATCCACCGATCAATAAAACAGTGACTGATTAGAGAAGACAGTTTTTACTGAGGAGGATTCCAACACATAAAAAACCATGTAATAGTTTTAAATCCACTGACAGCAGCACTGATTTTTGGCCACAGATGTTATAAAAACATTTCATTTGGTTGTTGTTGAAGATGTTAAGGTAGTAAGGTAGGTTGGTCCTTCAGTATAGGGCTGTTGTAAACCAATATTTTAGTAATCGAGTAATCTATAGATTATTCTTACTATTACTCAAGTAATCAGATAAAAAAAAAGTAAATCTAACATAACAGCGGTATTACTAGAGCATATCAACATCAATTAAATTTTTCACATTTGAGCTTCCCCAACAATAACTTTTTTGTAGTTTAGAAAATTAACCTGTAACATTAACAGCTCACTTTCTAAGTTAACCTGAAGAAAAGTTATACAAAAATTAGAAATTATATTAAATTTAATGATAAAGAGGCAGGCTCACAAATACGCTTATAAAAAAGTCTGCACTCCAGATTTTGGTTTATGCATTCATCTTCATTCAGTTTAATAGATGAACTCTGACCTTGCCCAGACATTTACAGCTTTGTGTTCCGCAACAATAGTGACGGGATTTGGGACCTTCGTTCGTCACACACAGAAACATCGACCAGGTATGTAACGCCACCTATTAGTGGCGACCGAAATGATATGAAATTTATTTTCCGGTGGATAAAGCTACACACATTTTTCGCACGATCTGGTGGCCCAACAGAATTATAAAAACCATGGGCAAAACCAGGGTTTTAACACTCGATCCTCTTTGGAAGTTGAATTAAACTTATTCAATGTCTGATATGTTGCATTTGATAGTCAATAAAACTAAAACAACAATAATAGTTTCATCTACAAGCTGCTGAATTACAATTACTTTGAATTACACTCTTAAGAGTTGTGAAAAAAATCAGTGTCATATAAATGAGAATTAATAACCTGCAAAAAGCAATAAAATATGATTTGTAATTGTAAAGAATAATATTTAAAAACAGTGACAGAAAATATTTTGCCCTAAAGCAAAAATAAATTCAGCTATCATTCTTTTTCAAATGTAACATTGTGGTAAAATCTTGAAAATAAACATAAAATTATTTCTAGACATTGTTGGATTCTGGACCTTATGTGAGTCAATTCAGTTCCTCTCTTTGAATTAAAAGAACAGCAAAGAGCAGGCGGATGTCTATTCAAAGTTGGGTTTTATTTTCCATTTCTCTAATGAAGGCTCATTGTTATAAAGAGGCAGAAATATTTTCCTGCTTAGCTCTGCTTCTGCACAATTTGAATTGATGCAAAAGTAAATTTGATTTTATAAAAATACATTTGACAAGCAAGGGTCTAGCCGTGCCGCTAATATTTGCATGATCTTATTTATGGCAGCTCAGCTGTACCTGCAGCAGAAAGCAGGTGCCAGCCGGGATAGCGGCTTGTTTTTGATGAATTCAGAGGCCGGATTTTCACTGCCTTAGCTGGGCAGGTACCCAAGCTGCTGGGCTTGAAGTAGGCCACTTTAACAAGGTGATCTACTGCTATGAGGCGTCCCTGCAAATGGATTCATATTACAATATGCAGTTATGAAAACCCTCAGTTCATTGATGTGTGAAGCGAATATTAGGGATTGTTATATCCCTCTAAACTCTATGTTAAAATCATATTATTTTGTTAAGACATTAATACTAATTGGTTTTCTTAACGTTATTGATGTCTGAGGACAAAATTGTTTGGTATTTTGGCTATGGATGAGCATTTTTCATAATAATCTGTCAGAATTTTGATTTATTTTTGTTACAATAAATTTTAATGTTATAAAAATTACCCAAAACTGCCTGTATTGTTTTTAATATTTTCTATAATGTTTGTTCAACAATAATACCATAAATGTAAAAGTATTAATTGCAGTTACTGTGTGCAAATAACACTTTATTTGACTCAAGTCCTAAAGAAACATATTAGTTTATTAATTTTCAAGAACTGTGTTTTTGTTTTTGGGACTATGGAGTTACAGCTGTGAAATTATCTAAAAAAACAAGAAATAATAGACATTTCTTACTGTCACTTTTATCTTTAGGAGCACAAAATATCTTGAGAAAACTTCTCCCACCTCTAATTTTGACCATCTTCTATTTTCTGCAAGTAAATACTCTCCATACAAATATTTATATTTAGAAATTGGACTCAGTGGCGGAATAAAAGGCAGTAAAAACAAAGGAAGCACATTTTTATTATGACCTTTTTTATGTCTGAATTTAAAAACCTTGAGTTTGTTGAAGCCATGTTGGGTTTGGTAACTGTTATTAATTGGCGAATCTACTGTATTAATTGATTAAGCTTTCATAAGGGAATATTGAATTTAAAAACAGTCAAATTAGACTAAAATTTAAAACAAAGATTTACTAATCAGCCTGTCGAGGAGAAGCAGGAATTTCTGTTCCAGCTTTAAAAGTCATATTGCAGCACTGACAGCTACCCCATCAATTGCTTAGCAACTGATCCAGTTGCCTCAGAAATCGTTTTATTATAGTGTCTGCTTCACTGACTGGCATGAGCAAAAATCAGTTTTATAAATTTTAAATGTCATGTCATTACTTCAGTTGCAAAAACTCATAGCTTCATGTCAAAGTCTGAGTTTTTTCACTTTTAAAACATCAAGAATCTAATTGGGTGTTAATGCAAAGTGTGACATAAATAGGAAGTGGCATAAAGAAAATGTGGTTCAATAGCTTAAAAATATGCATAGGATAAAGAAAAATTCAAATGCATGCAAAATGTCAAATTCCCTATTAGGTTGAGAGAAGGATGAGAAAATTAAAGAACCCAAACCTTGGAGAAAAAGTATATCATCCTTTATTTATCTACTTATTCAGATTTTTACTAATTTCTTTAAGTTAAAGGACAAGAATGAATAAAAGCAGCAAATTGGTTATCGATTTGTACATCAACAAATTTTTATTAAAATGAAAAAAACTTTGTGGTTGGTGTAGAACTACGTTTGTTACATCTGAGAAACTGAATGAATTAAAGAAAATCCAATTAAAAAAAAAATCAT